TTGGCCTTGCCTTTGGCCATGGCCTTGGCCTTCCCCTTTGGGGCTGGTGTGGTCACGAGGTCCTCCTCGCCATCGAGAGTTGGGCCGTCTTCGCCCAGCTCTTCAGCTCGCGCAGCCACCGCTGAAGCAGCCGCCACGGCAGCCTTCGAGTCAGTGTTGTCCGCTGCTTTGACCTTAGCCTGCTTGGCCTTGGCCTTCGCCTTGGCGAGCATACAGCGTACTCGTCTTCGATCTCCTTGACCCTCTGCTCAGCTTCAGCTGCCTCGTCGGGGGCGTCCTTGCCCTTGTCGAACCCAGCGAGGGCAGCAACGCACTGTTGACCAGCTGGAGCGGCTGCTCGCCGCGGTGGCTTCACCGTGGCCTTGGCAGGCGTTTCGGGAAAAGGAGACCCTTGACTTTCAAACAAGCTGTCCGGACTGCCATTGGCAGAAGTGTCTGAGATTGGCTGCGTATGCTGATGGGCACCGACGCCATGGTGTGACTGCTGCGCCATTGCAATATGTTGGGGCTGCTTATTGTGCGAATGCCGCACTGGAGCAGGATGCTGCCACTGTAGAGGCAGTGGCTGCTGCATCTGCTGGTTGGCCATGCCGCCGATTTGCCAGCTTGGTTGGCGCTGCTGCGGCGGCCCTGTCATCGCCATATGTTGCAATGTCTGCTGTGGCGTGAAACCTTGGCCCTGAGCGGAAGCCAGGAACTCATCGGCCGTGAGACTGCCCATCGAGACGTCGTGCTGGACGCGCTTGGGACGTGGCGCGTGCTCCCTCACGTGCCTTCCCGACGACCTGCACTGGGCCATGCCTCTCGCGGTATAGTGCGCGGGGATGTATTGCCTGACGGGCGGGTCCTCTGAGTTCGGGCGCATGGCAGCTCGGACCTCGGACGGTCATTCGCATGGGCACTGAGGGGTTGCCCTCGCGATGGCCCCCCCCCCCGCAGCAGCGTCGGCACTGGCCCTCTTGGCGTTGAAGTCCTTGCCGATCGCGAACGCAGCATCATAGAGCATCTTCGCATTTATGCCATCCGACCACGCATGACACGCCAGCATGCCCACCAAATCAGCGCACATCGGGGGGCTCGGCTTGTGGATGCCTCCGAGCGACAGCCGATTGACGAGTTGAAGGGAACTGCGGGGTCGCTGACGATGTCTTAATCGGACTGCGTGAAATAGTGGTTCGATCCTTTTTGCCGAGCCTGGAATTCGCGCGGTCCGAGCCTGGAAGATTTGAAGGAACCGAGCAGCTTCCCCTCCACTGTATTGGACAAGGATGTCTTCTGAGTCTCGTCGAAGGACGTAACCATTATTGTCTGGGGAATCTCTTGTGCGCCAGTACTCTTCTAACGGCATCGAGATACCCGCAATCATCTCGGACAAGGACGAGCATAATGAGGAGCGTAGCGTGGTGATCTTGCCTGGGCCACCGCGCAAGTCACTCTGCGTGGCAATGAGGTTGGAGGCACCCTTGAGCTCCGCAGGCACTTTCTCAAGCGTGGACATAGCGTGACACTGATCACCAGACCGCGCGGTCGCCAAAGAAAGGATCGCTCCGCCAAAACCAAATCTTGAGCCAAAATAGGCTACGCGCGCCAGGAGTATCCAAACATGGAGGAGGAGTTGGATATTGACACGGAAGTGAGGGTAGACCAGTTGTACCATGTGGGGATGTCAGAGCTATGAGCTCGAGTGTTCTTAAACTACGGGGAAACGTAAAGACGGGACCCCAGGACATGTTCGGAAACACTTGGCGCATATTCAATCACGATGCATTTCAACTGTACATCACGTCACTTATTCGGTCCATACAAGGTCTGAAGCTCGGATCTCACAGTTGTTGCTAAATCAGATGGAGACGACCTCAATTTCTCATTTTAGAAATTGAGGTTGACACTGAACGACCTGAATTTCGCATGGTAGAAATTGAGATTGACACTGCGCGACTTGACTTTCTCATTTGAGAGACCGAGGTCAGCTTGGAATAACCCCATTTTCTCATTTGAGAAATTGGGGGCGTTCCGGACCAACCCCAGTTTCTCAAATGAGAAATTGCCAATTTCTCATTTTAGAAAGTGAGGTCGTTCCTAAGCGAAAGTTCCTTCATATACATGCAATCGAGACCACCAAGGCACTTGTTCGTTCGGAGATTGTGGTCTTTAGACGCCAGCAGCACGCGCCCGAAACGGTACTCAGACAGACTGTTGGGGGGTCGGGGTTGCGCTGCGACCACAGCGAGGGAGAGGCGCATCCAGCCGTGACGACGACAACCCGATTAGCCCGGGTACGGTTGGGGGTTTGGGATCGCGCTGTGACCACAGCGAGGGAGAGGCGAATCCAGCCGAGACGACGATGGCCTGAAGAGCCAACCGACGGATGGGAAGTCAGGATCACGCTGTTATCACAGCGAGGGAAAGGTCAATCCAGCCGTGGCGAAGATGATCCGAGGCAGCGTCTCACTTAACCTTCCCATCCAAACACGCACGCACAGCCCCGAAACTACACGGGATTGTGCAGTTGTTGCGTAGGCCTCAACAAGAACGGTTACGATGATGACGACGATGGTGATGATGGTGTTGGTGCTTATGTGGGTATCCGTCGCACACGCGACTAGCATCACCACGCATGCGCGGTTGCAAGCGCACTGGGCAGAAGTTGCCATGCCTGACAGGGACTTAGCAGCATTCCCTCCTCCATCCTTCCCTCATTATCCCTCCCTCCTCCCTTTTCATCCTCATACCTGCCTCCTCCTCCTCCTCCTCCTCCTCCTGGGGCGCTGCTAAAGCAGCGAGTTCAATCCTAATCCTAGAGAAACAAGGGAACTCAGGGACCCTTGTATTCAGAGCCAGCGGCAGCGCTGTCATCTCCATCGACAGCCGCCTCGGTGTCACTATCAGGCCCCGCGAACTGCCTGCTCGATGCCTTGAGGCGCTTGTCCGCTGCTGGCTTCTCAGTCTTGTCCCGCGCCTTGACGTAGCTCCTCTTGGAAGGGCGCTCGAGCGTGTGAGCCCTCAGGAACGCCCACTGGAGCACCTTGGGGTCGAGGGGGGTCATCGCCATGCTGGGCGCGATTTTAAGTGGCATTGCGGTCTTGACATCGGGCACGGGCTCGTCGAGAGGAGTCTTGAAGGACGGCAGCGCGACGGAGACCAACGAGCTCTCGTGGCACTCCTGGAGCCGCTTCAGAGCCGAGACGCCAGCTTAGCGGCGGAACGAGGTGGTATCGCCCGTCTCAGCGTCACCTCCGAGTTCTCCCTTGCTGGCTGACGACTGGAGTTCGATGAGCCGGTCAATGGGTGTGGAGGCGATCGTTGAGTACACCTTGGTGCGAAGCAGCCAGTCCTGCATCTTCTTGTCGCCGCGCTTGAGCTGCACGAGCTCCAGGCGCCCGACGCATTGTACTTCGACGTCCCACGAGGCAAAGCCAAATGGGCTGCTGATATTCACAGTCTTGGTGAAGATGACTTCTTTCAAAGACGCGATGGGGGGGCACTCCACCGCTTTGGGGGCCATCGCAGGAGCAAGCTTATTGTAAATCAAGCGGAACACACAGTGTGAGCCTCGAAGTTTGGCCTCTTGCCAAAATGGCTGTATGTATGATGGCGATGTCTTGCATGATGTGGTGATGTCTCCTGCCCCCTTCCCCCCTTGGGTCGATGGCAACGTTGATGATGGCATTGTTGTATGTGTGTGTGTGTGCGTGTGTGTGTGTGTGTGTGTGTGTGTGTGTGTGTGTGTGTGTGTGTGTGTGTGTGTGTGTGTGTGTGTGTGTGTGGTGTGTGTGTGTGTGTGTGTGTGTGTGTGTGTGGTGTGTGTGTGTGTGTGTGTGCGTGTTTTTTTTTTTTTTTTTGGGGGGGGGGGGGCGCATGCTGCGCGATGGTGGGGATGTAGCATGGGGGGGGGGGGGGGGGTAAATTAAGGCCCAGGGCGTGGATGCGAATCCAGGGTCTGTTATCCTAGGACATGTCTACCTTACTGCCTTACCGAGTATTGATCCACCCACCGAAGACGAATGCGTGTTGTAGCGTCTTGGGCTGTTTTGGAAACCGTTTGTTTAAGTCGTCATGGGCTTGTCTTGGTTTGCTTTGGCACGTCCTTTGGCTTGTCTTGGAAACATGTTGGGCCGTGTCGGAGCCGCTCGGGAGTTTGTCAGAGCACGAAGAATGATAAACACGAGAGGGGGCAGCAAATTGGAGGAAGGGCTGTCAGTCTTTGGGATCCCTGATTTGCACGAAGCGCTGGCGAAACTCCAGCCACCGACAGGGGCCGTTGCCTCCGATGGTTAGCCATCGGGTCCCAGCGCCATGGCTGGTTGATCAAACGCGTGGAGGCTGCTCGCCTCGGAAATGAATTCACAAGGGGTTCGCGTCTTCCCGAGCATTCGTACTGTCTCCTCCCCGTATTCCTCATGTCATCAGCTCCGCCCCTCGGTTTTCACATCCTCCTCATCATCATATCCTTAATCCTCCCTCTCCTGTATCCAAGCCTCATCTTTCAGCCTACTCGAGTTTCATCGCAGCTAGCCTGCGATGCGTGCGAACGGTAACTTGAGCGACCTACAGTTCATGCAAGCAGTATGAACATACCTATTGACAAGAAGCGAACCACAGGCTTCTTTCTGCCTGGGCACAAGAAACAGCATATCACAATGGTTGCACCATCACGCGCAAAAAGTTCAGCGCCCACGCTTGGCGGGTGACTGTTCGTTGGCGTCAGGGCCAAAGCGAGTGCGCTTCTGCGCGCACCCCTGTGACACAAATGTGCCTGCCTTCACTTTTGCAGTGTTCTTCAACACTGGAAACTGCATAGTAAAATGCTCAGGGGTGTCGCCAGGGCGCATCGTGAGCTGAATGTCGCACGAAACCTTGACCCTGGACATATTCGGGGATTTATCTGTGGGCGCGCAGAAGAATGGGCTGACGAAGTTCTGGCCACTCGGCTTCCCCGTGGCGAATTGCGAATTGCGGCATCAAGTGGAATGCCGTCGGCGGCTTGCTCTTGAGGACTCCTAGGTCGGCAGACTTATCAGGGGCTGCAGTGGTCGGGCCCCTGTGCTTCACAAGCTGAGTGACAGGCGGCGTCACGAGAGCGTTCGGATCGAAGTCCTGCAGCGCTTGCGTGGCGAACGGATTCGTGTAGATTTTGAGGCCCGCGAACTTTGCCTCGGACTCCCCGCTCGCTGCAGTGAGGCACAAACAAATCTGAGACTCCACGTGCTCGATGCGCCAGCTGGTGTTCAGCGACGGCAGCATGTTGCTAAACGTCAGCACCTCCTGAGGCTCGGCCGTCGCGGGCACCCACAGGTCCTTCAGGTTACCAAGCACGAGCGCCAGAGGTTCGCCATCAGCGTGGACTCCTGTCGGTGCTATCGTGGCGATGGCCTCGCCGATCTCCTTGATAATCCACAGCGCGCAGGCGCTGCTGTTCTGGTCGGCCTTCCGTGGCTGGATGATCGAGCCGACCTTGTACCCGAGCCGCTGAATCTGGTCGGCCGCAGACTTCACGTCTGACATCTGCTGCATGGCGACGCTCGCCTTGGGGCGTGGCGTCTCCACCTGCCGCAGCATAGCGGCGTTCCGAGTCGGCGCTGCCGACGCGGATCGCACCTTCAGTGATGAAAAAGCTCTTCCTATGTCTCTTCCTCCTCCTTTTTTTCCTCCTCCTTCTCCTCCTCCTCATCCTCCTCCTCCTCCCCCTCTCCCTCCTCCTACTTCCCGTTATGCTTCCCCCCGCCTCCTCCCCCTCCATCCCCTCATCATCGCCATCGTCAGCGTCGCCCATCGCCCGTGCCAAAAAGGCCGGTTTTTGGGCAATGCTGAATTTCGACGGAGTCGGAAAGTGTGCATCCAGGAATCACCTTGGGCTCTTGCTTGACGGTCGCCCGACAGCGGTTGATCCACGGGTTGTCGATCGGCTGCCCCTTGATGTCGGCGAGCGCGTCGATGAATACCTGGGCGGCCTCCTCCAACGTGGCAAAGTCCTTGCCCTCGCGGCTGCTCTTGCCCTTCCGCAAGAGGTGCAAGACTAGGCGCATGTCGTTCTCGCAGGTGAGTTGCAGCTTTGACCTCAGGCTGATGCCATGCGCGACGCACATGTCTCGGGCGTCCTCCATCATCTTCTCAGCCTTGTGCGCCAAGTCCAGAGTTGCCTTGTTGCGCAGCTTGCCGGGATCAGAGTCGCGAATGAGCCCAGTCTTGCCGTCGACCACCTTGTCGATGGGCGAGTTGAGCTGCGCCGAGAGCACAGCCACGCGCACTCGCTGCAGAGGTACAGCGAGCGACGGCAACGACAGGTTGGCAAGCGCCTCGAAAAACGAGCCGCCGATGTGGCCGAACGCGGCCGAGGCGCCGCGGGGAACCTGTTGGAGATGGAGAATTGGAGGAGGAGGAGGAACGCATGATAAGGAGGCCATCGGCACTCGGATTCGGAGAGTGCGAGGATCAATGCCTGATGAGACTACTCGGGCCGAGGATCGAGGATGGAGGGCCGCAGCCCTCGTCCTCGCCAGCGATCCTCGGCCTTGTATTTTCATTCTTAGGGTCCTCGACCCTCTACCCGAGACAACCCCCTTATCACCACTCATCCTCCTCCTCCTCTCTTTCTCCTCCTCCTCCTCCTCGCCCCCCCCCCCCCCTCCTCCTCCTCCTCCTCCTCATCCTCCTCCTCCACCTCCTCTTCCTCCCCATGCAGAGCCTTGAAGACCGCGGTCTTCATGTCGCGCGCCTCCACGATCTGCTCCTGCGGGACTGCGCGCGCGAACTTGCGCAGCTGCAAGGCCCAGTCCCTCCAGAACGGGTTGGTGAGCAGGCTCTCCTCCATGGCCGCGCCCCACGCGACCTTCTCGCCGCTGTTGGTCGCCGTGGCCCGCGCGAAGGAGGAGTGCATGGCGAGTAAGCCCTACAGCTCGGGTACATCAGAAGTGTCCTTCCTGTTGAGGGCGCTCGCGCCGATGCACAGCACATCTGGGAACTCCTGCACGACGGCGTAGTTGAGTTGAGCACCTGCCACTCGAGGCCCCTGTTGAGCGCGTCGCGCAAGGTGGGCCACTTCTGGCAGATGTACTCCTCGCCCAAGTAGCCCGATGGTGCAATGAACTCATCGCTGCATGCCATCTTGCAGCTGGTCGCACGAATGGCTACGTTGCAGTGCGTGCCGCCGAAGCTCGCCAGCTCCATGACGTCGTGTGGCGGGATGCCGCTCTGGACGCTGAGGCGGTGGTTGAAGTCCACCCACTTCTCACCCTCTGGAGTTCCTCTCGGCACCTCAACCGCGAACGAACCGCAGGAAGCACGAGCGTAGCTCCAGCCAGCCCTGCAGTGCTTGCCAAGGTTGCTGAGGGTCTTGGCAACCTGGGAGGGTGGATAGTGAAAAAAAGGCCCGCATCCAATATCACTAGTAGCATTCATCATTCCTCTCACTCGTCCTCCTAGTATCTTCACCCTTGCTCAGCCCTCCCCCCTCTTCTCCTCCGTCTCATCCTTTCCTCGCCCTCTCATTCACCTTCTCACTCTTCTCCTCATCCCTTTCCTGAGGCCATCCCTCTCCTCGTCCTCCTCGTCCTCCTCCTCCTTCTCCTCCAGCTCCTCCTCCTCCTCCTCCCTCCTCCTCCTCCTCCTCCTCCCTCCTCCTCCTCCTCCTCCTCCTCCTCCTCTCCCTCCCCCATCCTCTCACCTCCCCGATGCCACATTCTCCCCGCGCACCTCGAAACCGAAGCCTCCGCGGTTGTCGGGGCTGACGCCGACGCGGGAGGCCGCCGCCGTCGTCGTCCTGAGCAGCTGGGGCCTGGGCTTCAGCACATCTAAGATGCTGTCCCAGGCCTTGATCACCTGCCCGTCGCTGAGGAAGCGGGCGATGATCTGGTGCAGCTCCGCCCTGACCTCGCCCAGGGCGCGCTCGACCAGCGCCATGATCGTATATCCTCGGGGCCCAGCTCCAAAGGATACGAAAGTCAGAGGCCGAAACACACATTGAGCCAAAATGGGCAAGGCGGAGCGTTGCATTGAGGGCCTCTCGGGAGCCTTTTGGCTTGGGGCTAACTGTTGCTAACTCACTTAGCTAACTCACTAACTCACTTGGCTAACACAGTTAGCTAACTGACTTACACAGACTTACCCAAGCCTTCCCAAGATTTAGCCAACCTATGCTATGTTAGACGGTCAGCTTATGTAACACAGCAATCGCCGTAGCTAAGACCATCCAACCTGAGCTAACACTGTACATCGTGAGCTCGGACTTGCCAACTACTTATGGAAGCTGACCTAACATGCCAATGTGTTGTATGCATTTGCAGACACATAGCAAGTGATGTAGGTGTGTTGCTAGATGTTGTTAGGATGTTGCTAGTGGTTCCCATGGGGTTGTTAAGTTCTTACAACCAGCGTAACTGTTACTGAGGCGGGTTTCCTCCCAAGCAGTGGGACAGTCATTTGCCTTGCCGGCGGTAAGGGGGGGGGGGGGTTCGAACCGGTAGTGACACCCCCCCTGTTTTGGGGAGAGGAATGGGGGGGGTTCGAAGTAGTAGTGACCCCCCCCCCGGTTTTCTGGAGGGGAGGGGGGGGGTAGTGACCCCTACCTGTTTTCTGGAGGGGGGGGAAAGGGGGGGCGTTCGAACCAGCAGTGACCGCCCCCCCGGTTTTCTGGAGGGTGGGTGGGTGATCCCCCTCGGTTTTCTGGAGGGGGGGCGAGCCGCTAGTGACCCTTCCGGTTTTCTGGAGGTGAGGGGGGGGGCGGTTCGAATCGGTAGTGGCCCCCCCCGGTTTTCTGGAGGGGGGGGTGTTCGAACCGGTAGTGACCCTCCCAGGTTTTCTGGGAGGGAGGGGGGGTTCGAACGGGTAGTGACCCCCCCTCAGTTTTCTGAGGGGGGGGAGGGGGGGGGTTCGAAGTTGTAGTGACCCTCCGTGGTTTTCCGGATGGGGGGGGGATGCCGGGGGAATGGGGGGGGGTCCAGCAGGGGGAGGGATTTTCGAAGGGGAGGGGGGGACCCCCAGTCTCTGGAGTAAGAGGGGGGGAAATTTTGAGAGTAAAGCGGGGTGGATCACGCTCTCTCTGAGATCTAATTTGGATCTGCGGCGGCTACAAACTATGCTGGCCCCCAAGCGGCCCTCGAAAGTGGCAACAGTTTCGCAAATCGCAGCCCTTCAGGGATGACGAGGTCTACTTTGGATCTGCGGCGGCTACCCACTACTCTGCCTCCCCCCAAGCAGCCCTCGAAAGTGGCGACAGTTTTGCAAATCGCAGCCACCCCAGGGATGGCGAGGTCCAATTTGGATCTGCGGCGGCTACCCACTATGCTGTTCCCCCCAGCATTCCTCGAAAGTGGCGACAGTTTCGCAGATCGCAGCCCCACAGGCAAGATACACACAAGAGGTACCGCAGGCAATATGCACACACAAGAGGTGCGCACAAGGCAAGCGGAGACAAGAGGGAGGCGGGAGGAGGAGGAGAAGGAGACGCGACCGCAGTGCTCTATTCATAACGAAGGCCCGACCAAGGAGTGTTGGGAAAAAGAGGTACCGATTCCGCAGCCCTGCGCCTGCTTTCCCCTTTTTTGTCGGCCTCCTGGGTGGCCGTCGTCGCCACCGCTGGATTCGCTTCGAAACCCTGGTCAGGGAGCACCCCAGGAGGTCCAGGGAGTAGCGGTATTGGTACCTTCTGGTTTCCCCTGTAAAGGGTTACAGTGGAGGCCCATGCCAAGAAACACCCTGCTTGCCTCCAGGGTGCCCTGGGTTTCTCGGGTTTCGATGGTTTGGCTCTGGGAAGCGTGACGTTCCCACACCAAAAATCAATGGACGTCCTGGGGTCTCGGGTTGGCGTTCTTGTGGAAGGTTTCTTGTGGGCTAGCTTCCACTGTACCACGAGGGGGTGGCGAGGGAGGAGGGGGGACAATACGTTTCGCGCCAGCGGCGTCCGGGAATGTCCAGGGACAGCCAAAGCCAACTCGGAGGTCAGCACGCATCGTGACGTTATTTGGGGGGTGGGGGGTAGGGGGGCGGCCCGGGCCAGTGACCGCCGCTATCGCGAAACAAACACGCTGTCATGGGGGGGCGATCATCGGCGGCGAAAGCCGATCCCTACCCTCGCCGATCACCGGTTCAGGCAACTTCATGGGCGGCGGGGATAGGGTTCGGAATTCGTCGGGCACTGGGCGAAGTCCGAACCCTACCCTCGCCGATTAACGATGCAGGAAAATAGATGGTCGGCGGGGGCAGGTCAGGTTGGGATATCGCCACCTAGAGAATGTGGGCCGCAGAGAGGGTGCACATCTTGTGTATCTTAGGGGTCCCTCCAGGGGCCCTCTTGGGCCAGAACGGGGCAAGAGACGTGCACGTTTCTTCGCCCCCAGTGGTATTACAACGACTACGACTACGACCACGACCACGACTACGACTACGACTATTACTACTACTACTACTACTACTACTACTCCTACTACTCCTACTACTACTACTACTACTACTACTACTACTACTACTACTACTACTACTACGACTACTACTACTACTACTACTACTACTTCTACTACTACTACTACTATTACTACTACTACTACTACTACTACTACTACTACTACTACTACTAGTACTACTACTACTACTACTCCTGCTGCTGCTGCTGCTGCTGCTGCTCCTAGTGAAACAACAGCAACCACTACTACGACTACGACTACGACTACTACTACTACTACCACCACTACCACTAGTACTACTACTAGTACTGCTTCCACGACGTCTACTACTACTACTACTACTACTACTACTACTACTACTACTACTACTACTACGACTACTATTGCTTCTTTTTAACTACTCCCAGTACTGTTACTTCTACGACTACTACGGCTACTACTACTACAACTATTATTATTTATCATTATTGCTACCACTATTCTTCCGATCAGTATTACGATTAATATTATTATTCGTACTACGACTACTATTACGATTAGTGTTACGAGCTACCATTGTTGTTGCTACTCCGGCTTTGATTCTTTCTTTTCTGGTTACGACTACGACTACGGCTAGCATTTCTACTACAACTACTTCTACTATTGCAAATAATGCTACTAATACTTCTACTACTGAGATTTTTCGACTACGGCTACGTTTCCTAGTGCCACAACTGCGACCACGTTTATCAACGCTATACGTAGTACTACCACTATTTCTATTACGGCGACTACTACTAGTACTACTACGACTACTACGACTACTACGACTACTACTACTACTACTACTACTATTACTACTACGGCTACTACTACTACTACTACTACTAGTACTAGGACCACTACTACTATCTACTACTGTTACTACTACTACTACTACTACTACTACGACTACTACCACTTCTACTTTTGCTGCTACTACTACTGTTGCTACTACTGCTACTACTCCTACTACTACAGCTACTACCCTTATCACGACCACGAACACAATTATTACGACGATGACAACGACTGCGTCTTTTATAGTCGCAAGACGATGCACTATCACAGAATTGGTATCACTAGCGTTGCTACTACTACTAAGGCTTCTACTACTACTTGCACTACTACTACTACTACTACTACGACTACTACTACGTCTACTACTGCTACTAATACTACTGCTGCTACTACGGCAGCTACTACAAGTACTACTACATTTGTTTTACTACTAGTAGTACTACTACTACTACCGCTACTACGAGTAATATTACGATCACTCGTAGTCCTCCTGCTACCACCACGACTGCCACCACTACTTCCACTATTCCGAATACGAATGCGACTACTAATATGAAGACTATAACTACTACTTCTTCTACTAATGCTGATTATCGTGTTCACTTCTGGTACCATCCCTCTTACTATTAGTACCACCACCACCACTGCAGCAGTAATACAGTGTACTACAAAGGCTACTACCACTTCCACTGCTACTACTACTACTACTTCAACGGCTACTTCTATTATTATTACTTGTTCTACTACTTCTACTGCTGCCACTACTTCTTCTAAAATTGCTACCACCACCATTGCGGCACGCACCATCACCACTACTACTACTACTACTACTACTACTACTACTACTACTACTACTACTACTACTACTACGACTACTACTACTACGACTACTAATGCGGCCATTACTACTACTACTACTACTACTACTACTACTACTACTACTACTACTACTGCTACCATTGCTAGTTCTACTGCCACTACTCGCGCTTTTATCAGTGATGCGGTGTACTAGTACTATGGTGACCACTGCGGCTACTACTACTGCGACCAGGACTGCTACCACTGCTACGCTGCTGCCACGGCTACTAAATCTACTACCGCCACTTCCTCTTCTATTGCTACAACTGCTACTAGTACGACGGCGACGGCTACTACTACTACTCGTACTTCTGCTTTCGGTCGATCCTTTTTATGATTATTTCTGATGCCACTACCTCCACTGCTGCCGCAAGTACTACTGCAGGTACGACGGCTACACTTACTGCTACCCCTGTAATCATTGCTTCACCTATTACTATGGCTTCTGCCACTATTCGTATTATCGCAACTACTACCACTACTACCGCCACTACTACCATTACGACCAGAACTATTACCACGCCTACTTTTTCTATGTTGTATCAATATTGTTATAGTTATGAGTACTACGACCATTACTACGATGTGCATTATTTTCATGTTAATTTCTACTATTTCTATTGTTACTACTACCATTCATACCTTTTCGGTTACCTGTAGTACTACTACTACCACTACTACGACGACTACGGCTACGATGACTACTATTTCTATCCACGACTACTACGACTACAAAGACTGCTACTAGTGTTGCTGCACCCATTTGCGATGATTACTGCTACGACGGCTACTACTACTGTTACGGTTTCGACTGCTACTACTGTTATTATTATCACTACTTCTCCTACTACTACGGCTACTACTACTTACCACTACCACTGCTACTGCTACTACTTCTTCTTTTTCTTACTTTACTATTACTATTTGTACTAGTACTACTACGACGAGTACTACTACTACTACTACTACTACTACTACCACCACCACTACTACTACTACTACTACTACTACTACTACTACTACTACTATTACTACTGCTACTACTCCTACTACTACGACGACTACTGCTACTACAACTACTACTGCTACTACTACGACTACTACTACTACTACTACTGCTACTAGTACTACTACTACGACTACGACTACTACTACTACCTTTACTACTACGACTACTACCACCACCAGTACTACGACTACGACTACGCCGACGACTTCTATTAGTACTACTACGGCTGCTAGTGTTATTGCTACTGCTACTGCTGTTACTACTACTACTACTACTACTACTACTACTACTACTACTACTACTACTACTACTACTACTACTACTACTACTAGTGCTACTACTACTACTACTACTACTACTACTACTACTACTACTACTACTACTACTACTACTACTACTACTACTACTACTATACTACGACAAGTACTACTACTACGAGCACGGCGATTCGTGATATAGTTTCCACTATCGCTTCTGGGGGCGCGGAAGGCACACGGTTTCGTTGCCCGCTCGGTTAGAAACGCCGAAGATCTCGGCAATGGAGGCCGCCACGGAGGAGGGTCTAGAGGAGGCACGAGGTGCCGATGCCGCTCCTCGTTCGGGAGCGCCTCTCGTTGCTTCGGATGGATTATCCTTTAAATTCCGCCGCCCTGGCTCATTCTTCTCCGTCTCCCTACATTCCTCGTCCCCTCCTTCCGCGCCTTCTCTCTTCTTCCCCTCTCGCTCCTCGTTATGGCCCGCTTTACCTCGTCTCCAGGCTGCGAATGTTGCTGAATAAGGAGCGCTGCTCACGTGCCTTCTGGACACGCGGCGTCCTCTGTTTCCCCAGGGGGGGTCCTCTGAGGGGAAGGGGAAGGGGTTTGGGATTTACGGAAAAGCGCAGGCATTTGTCACGGTGCTTTGAGGCAGATTTGACGCGCCAGGTCGCCGAACGAGGCGGCACCGCAGGGGACCTTCCCCGATCCGTGGATCTGGCGCCCGCGCGCTAGATCCTCGGATCCGTCATCCATGTGAGTGCGTACTCGGTTTTCGCGGTTTTCGGGCTCCAGGTCCGATTCGATGCGATAACATTGGGGGCTCAGGGCCAGGGGCTCCTGGATCGCTGCCTCGACCTCAAGTGGGGGGTGTCGGGGCCGGAAGCTCGCCGTGGAGCTTCCGGGTCGGCTCCAATGCGGCCCAGCAGACCCATCAAGAATTTTTCTGTGTAAGCGGGTTTCGGGAAACTTCGTAGAACCTCGATCTTGGATTATTGATCCCGACGGCGATGACGACGGCGGCGGCGGCGGCGGCGGCTGCGGCGGCGACGACGACGGGTGCGGCTGCAGCGACGGCGACAGCGACTGCGACGGCGACGGCGACGGTGACGGCGACGGCGACGGCGACGGCGACGGTGACGGTGACGGCGGCGGCGACGGCGGCGGCGGCATCGGCGGCGGCGGCGGCGGCGACGACGACGACATGCGACCAAACGATCAAGAGATGCCCGGGGGTGTCGCAGCGCCCACGTGAAAAGTGGACGGTAAAAGATACTCCTGGTTCGTCGAAGATGTCGTTTTCGTCCCGGCCGCCAGGCCGCAGCCAGCGAGCCAGACGAGGAATCACACCTGATAGTATGTATTTATGTATGTATGCATGTATGTATACTTGTATGTATGCATGTATGTATGTATGTATGTGCGTAAATATATGTGTATATTTATTTATTTATTTATTTATATATATATATATATGTATGTATGTTTGTATGTATGCATGAACGTATGTATGCATGCATGCATATATTTATGTATATATGTATCTATGTATGTATGCGTGTGCACACTTATCCATATGTCTGCGTGTATGTATGGCTATATGCATGCATGCGTATATGTATGCATATATGTATGTATGCATGCATGCATGCATGTATGTATGTGTGTAACTGTGAGTGTATGTATGCATGCATGCATGCATGTCTGTCTGTCTGTCTGTCTGTCTGTCTGTCTGTCTGTCTGTCTGTATGTATGTATGTATGTATGTATGTATGTATGTATGTATGTATGTATGTATCCACGGATGCATGCATGCACGTATGCATGCATGCATGCATGCATGGACGGAGGGATGCACGTATGTATGCAGGTATGTATGCATGCATGCATGTATGTATGCATGTAGGTATGCATGTGTATGTGCAGGCGTCAGTGAGTGTACGGCCCCTCCCGAGGCGGCCAGCGTGTAGGCCAGGGCCCGAAGAGGCCCTGGCGCGAGCGTCGGGCCCGTGGAGGCCCTAGAGCATGAATTGGGCCCTAATGAGGCCCCCTGTGCAAGGCCCGTGCAGGGCTGGACTGAGAGGGGCGGGGCGTTCCCGCCAAAGCTCTTATGGTTCGAGGATAATCCATCGAGCGAGATCATCATCTCTGCATGGTGACAGCATGTGAGGTTTCCTGAACCTACCCTTCAGGCTAGTGGCGCCAGCGCGCCATGGCGGCCGACAGCGGAGCGGCTGGGGTGCAGATGCTGGATTCGCGCGGAGTCGGCAAGGTGCCGACGTTCTCAGGCAAGAGGGAGGACTTCGAGGACTGGATCTTCCCGTTCGAGTCCTTCTGCGGTCTGCTGGGTTGGACGGCAGGCCTGGACAGGTCGAGAGAGGCTGAGGAGCCGCTGACGGTGGACGACCTCGGCGAGCAAGGAGTGCAGGTCGGCAGGAGCTTGTACCACCTGCTGGCGAGCACCACGAAGGGCACGGCGCAGAGCATCGGCAAGCTCTGCCCACGAGGCGACGGCTTCGAAGCGATGCGGAGGCTGCACAAGGAGTACCGGCCGAGGTTGAACGAGGAGCACGGCCAGATGCTCCAGCAGATCTTGACGCCGCTGTGGTGGAAGGATCGCGAGGGAAAGGAGCGCTTCACGGAGGTGCTTATCGCTTGGGGCGAGTTGATCTCGAGGTATGAGCGCGCGACAGGAGAGCAGGTCACGCAAAACATGAAGACGAGCACGATCATGGCCCACGCGCCCGAGGAGGTGAAGGTCATGCTGCGCTCGGCGCAGCGCGAGGTGCGCAGCGACGTCACGCAGATGAGGAACTGCATCTTCGAGGCGGTGATCGGCCAGAGTGGAGTGGTCGCGAAGCCGCCGACAGCAAACTGGGGGAGCAACGACATGGACGTCGACGCGATCTCCAAGGGCAAGGGCAAGGACGGCAAGGACAAGTGCCAGATCTGCCACAAGCCGAGCCACGCGGCCCGCGACTGCTTCTGGCGCGACAAGGGCAAGCAGAAGGGCGACGGAAAAGGCCGAGGAGCAGGCGCGGGATCCAAGGGCGGAAAGGACGCCAAAGGCAAAGGCAAGGATGGCTACACCTTCACGGGGAAGTGCGACTATTGCCACAAGACAGGCCACAAGAAGGCAGACTGCAAGAAGCGGATCGCCGATGAGAAGGCCAAGGGCAATGCGGCCATCGAGCAGGAGAGCGCGGACCCGAAGACGGTGGCCAAGATCGAGTACGCGGAGTATGAGTGCGAGATCTGCGACGACGACCAGCTCTACTGCATGGCGATGAAGGCGGAGGATCCCGAGACGGAGTGCTGCGGCATGGAGCTCGAGGAGACGACCTTCATCACGCTGGACACGGCGAGCGACTGCCACGTGGGGCCGACTTGCTTCGGAGAAGGATGCAAGAAAGGCGAGGATCGCGGACCGAGGCTGCTGGATGCGCAGCGGAAGGAGATCAAGATTGACTCCATTGCGACGGTGCCGATGGCGGTTGCTGACGACTGCGAGCAGCCGGAGCTGCTGAAGGCGGACTTCAGGCTGGGTGACGCGGTATCGAAGCCGATCCTCTCGTTGCTGGAGGTGATGGGCAAGGGTGCCGAGTTCTGGCTGAGTGCGAAGACGGGCATGTGCATGTACCCTGGCGGTGACCTCAGCAAGGGCATCCCGCTCACCAGGAAGAACAACACGTTGGGCTTCAACGCGAAGACCTTCAAGACAGCGACGGAGGCGAAGGAGTTCGCGGCCAGCGTGAACACGAATGAGCAGCAGGAGGAGGCGTTCGCGCCGACGCCTGGGGCTGCGGGCAGCGGAGCAGCGACGGCGGCGCCGGCTGCACCTGCGGTTGCTGCCTCGGATCCAGCGCGAGATGGAGCAGCTGAGGGCGCAGGAGGAGAGCGACTGGCTCGACATCCTGTGCTGCTACGCGAAGGGCAGGAGATCGTCCTGCACCCTTCCAGCCGCGTGGAGGACATGCGGGCGAGGCTCAAGGAGATGGGCCAGCCGATCTACGGCAGGAAGGACGAGCTGTGGGCTAGGCTCAGCGACGCGGAGCGGAGGCCCACGGCACACCACATGAAGATGAAGGAGCTGGAGCGCAGGCACGAGGAGTCCGTTCAGGGAGGACCCTCGATAGCACCACGAGAAGTAGCAGGGCCATCAGCGCCCGCGGATGCAGAACGAGCAGCTCATGAACTGCTTCACCTCACGAGGGCGCCGCGGTGCGAAGCCTGCGTACGAGGGAACGAGACGACCAAGCCGCACAAGACCCTCACATTCGACCAGAAGGACACTGGGAAGGCGCAGATCACTCTGGACTTCTGCTACCTGAAGACCAACGGCGACTGGACGGAGATCGGAGAGGTGGAGCCGCCAGCGGCGGACATCTTCGCGACGACGCTCGTGATGGCAGACAGGGACACGCTGATGTTCAACGCAGTCTCGATGCCCACCAAGGCGGTCACGGACTACGCAATAGCCAGCGTGAGCAGCTTCATCGAGGGCACGCATCTCACGACGGCGGACATCAAGACGGACGGCGAGCCCACGATCGTGAACTTGGTGGAGGAGGCGCGGAAGAAGCTGAACAAGAGCATCAAGCTGGAGGAGAAGCGCGGGAACCTGAAGGACAGCCAGAGCATGGGCGCGATCGAGGCTCCGATCAGATGGTTTCAGGCGAAGGTGAGGACGTACAAGTTCGACTTGGAGAAGCGCTTTGGCATGAAGATCACAGCGGACGCACCGATTTGGTGCTGGCTTACACGATACGTTAGCTGGCCTACCTCTACGTACAGACCGCGGGCCGATGGGGGGACATCCCATCAGGCAGCCTACGGAGTGACCTACAACGGAGAGATTCTCCCCTTTGGCGAGACGGCTCTCTTCAAGACCCCGATCTCCCACACGAGGCAGATCGCGACCGCGTCTCTGAAGCGCAAGGGCGAGTCGAGTTTCGTGAAGGGCATCTGGATCGGGAAGCACAAGGAGAGCGACGACCACTTGTTCTTGACGCCAGCAGGCTGGCACCGCGCGAGAACGCGCAGGCGGCTGGAGCCAGCGTTGCGAGCAGATGATCAGCTGATGAAGGCAGTGAAGGCCCTACCCTGGGACGCGAGGAGCGCTAAGCCGTGCGAGCTACTGCCCAGGATTCAGAGGCCGATGCCCACGATCGTTCTGACGGCGGCGGAGCAGAAGACGAAGACTGAGGCGCAGGAGGCAGCGCGGGAGGCGACGCCACCCCAGGGGGCGCCCGAGCAGGGGGCGCGGCCGGCTGCAGCAGCGAGCGCGGAGCCATCGTCAGCACCCGCGGGACCTGGGGCTGGAGCAGCAGCAGCGGCAAGACCAGAGGAGAAGAGCACGACGGATGCGGACGCGCCGATGACACCCCGAGGGCTGATCAGACCTGCCGATGCTGAGGACTTTGGTGCACCAGGTAAGCGCGCGAAGCACGTGGACGCAATCTCGCTCGACGACCCCATCGATTACAGCATCCTGGACAGGATGGGCACAGACTGCTACGTGACGGTCGGCGGACTGGAGCCCGCGGTGGAACTCAAAGGCAAGCGCGAAGCACTAGAGGTGCTGGCGCACTATGGGGCTCACAGGGACATCCCGAGGAGCGAGAGCGGCGAGTTCAAGAAGATCAGGGCGCGTTGGGAGCCGCAGACGCGAGGAGGCATCTGCAAGTGGCGGTATGTGGCGCAGGAGTTCAAGTGGATGGAGCAGCGCGACGACGTGTTCGCAGCGAGTTTGTCAGCACAGACGAGCAGGCTGGTGGACTTCGTCAGCATCAAGGAGGAGAACCACGGGACCTTCATCGCAGACTGCGTGAAGGCGTACTACCAAGCGGACCAGACGGAGAAGGTTTGCGTGGGGCCACCTGCTGAGTATCTGGCGATCTTGGCTGAGATGGGCAAGCCGACCGACATTGTTTGGGCGTTAGACAAGATGCTACCTGGGCAGCGTGTGGCAGGCGCTGGCTGGGTAGACAAGGCGGCGAAGACTCTGAAGGGAGAGGGCTTCGACAGGAGTGAGTGCCAGCCGCAGTTCTACGACCACAGGGAGAAGGAGATCCTGATCGAGGTGCACATGGGCGACTTCCACGGAGAAGGTCCGAGCGGCAACCTGGACGGGATCATCAAACGGCTGCGGGGGGTGTTCGACCTGAAGGCGACGGACGTCATCATGCAGGGACGCTACTCACACTTGAAGCGTGACAGGCTGAGGCTCATGAACGGCAACATCATGCTGAGGCCGAACGTGAAGCATATTGACGACTTGATCTACGCGATGGGCATGGAGACGGCCAAGCCAGCGAAGGTGCCAAGCTTGACTGAGGAGGACCCGACATGGAGCCCCGAATTGGACGAGATCGAGAGGGCGAGTTTTCGCGCAGGAGTTGGGATCGCGCTCTACATCTCGCCCGACAGAGCTGACATCCAGCGGGGCGTGCAGCTGCTGACCAGGAACCTGAGTCAGCCGACGGAGTTTGACAGGAAGCGATTGGCGAAGCTGGTGACGTACTTGAAAGGGGCAAAGACGTTCGGAGTGCTTTTGGAGAAGCCAACTGGGAGCAAGCCTGGAGAGGTGAAGCTGCAGTTGTTCACGGACGCGGACTTTGCGACGTGCACGGAGACGAGGCGTGCGATGACCTGTGGGATCACAAAGCTGGACGGAGTGCACTTCGCAGCGTTTGCGAGGAGGCAATGAGTCCAGAGTACATCCTCAGGCGAGGCGGAGTTCTACGGCGCGACCTCGGTGGCGAGGGACGGCAAGCTGGCGAAGAACATGCCGGAGTGGTTGGGCTACAAGGTGACCTGGGAGCTCGGGATCGACAGCAGCGCCGCGAAGGCGATGATCAACCGCGAGGGCGTCGGCAAGGTGAAGCACCTGGACGTTCGGGCGCTGTGGATCCAGCAGGGGCGGAAGGTTGACGGACTGAACATCAAGAAGGAGAGCGGAACCAAGAACGTGGCCGACCTAGGGACCAAAGCGCACGCCACAGCGGTTCGAGTACCTGCGAGAGCTCGCTGGCATCGTCGACTGCAGCGAGATGGACCAGCGCAAGGAGCTGGAGGCGTGCTCGGTGACAACGAGCGCCTGGGCTAAGCAGGGGTTGCTGGCGACACTGCTCGCGCAAGGAGTGACTGGTGGCGCGACCACAGCAAGTGAATGTGCAGTGCGAGATCTCGACCAGCGTGCAGTTACCCCCTGGGAGACGACAAAGCTGCAGGACTGGATCGATGACCATATGCACTGATCATCCTGAGCGTGCTGATGATGACATTCGTGGCAGGTGCACTGCTCGGGTGTTGGAGCCGCGCGAAGTGGGCGACGATGAAGAGCTCCACGAAGCTAAACCTGGTCGAGCATACGAATACCCCGAATCGGAGCAAGGAGCTGATCAACAAAGTAAGGTTCACGGACAAGCCGCTGACGGAGGAGAAGGTGAGTCAATCGCCGTGCACATACAAGTGGAAGTGCACGACGCCGGGGTTCATGGCGCTGCCCGAGGCGAGCCACGGGTGAGAACGAGCTTGCGGCCTATGGCAAGGTGAACGAGGTGATGTGCCTCGGCGAGGCGCCGGGGGGCGCGCGCAGGCGTCAGTGAGTGTACGGCCCCTCCCGAGGCGGCCAGAGTGTAGGCCAGGGCCCGAAGAGGCCCTGGCGCGAGCGTCGGGCCCGTGGAGGCCCTAGAGCATGAATTGGGCCCTAATGAGGCCCCCTGTGCAAGGCCCGTGCAGGGCTGGACTGAGAGGAGCGGGGCGTTCCCGCCAAAGCTCTTATGGCTCGAGGATAATCCATCGAGCGAGATCATCATCTCTGCAGTATGTAAGTATGCGTGTATGTATGTGTATGTATGCATGCTGCCCAAGCCGGACGGCGGCCTGAGGCCCATTGGCCTTTTTCCGACGCTCATCCGCATTTGGATGCGTGCGAGGGCCACCGTGGCCCGCGCTCGGGAGGCGGCCCATGCGCTCCCATCGGTGTTCGGCAGCGCTGGACGCGGCGCGCAGCGCGCAGCCTGGGCGGCGGCCTTCGCTGCCGAGGCCTCGGCGGCTTCCACGTGCCACCATGTCGCGTCCTTGCTTGACCTCGTGGAGGCGTTCGAGCGGATCCCGCGCCACCTCGTGGCCGCGGCCGCCGTGCGGCTGGGTTTCGACCTGGTCGCGCTGCGCCTGTCTCTGGCGGCTTACCAGCTGGCACGGGCCATCGGCGTCGAGAGCACATTCTCGTGCTTGCTCGTCGCCACTCGCGGCATCACGGCTGGCTCGGGGTTCGCCACCGTCGAGCTCCAGATGTTGCTGCGCGAGTCCGTGCTCATCGCCACGTTCCGCTGGCCGTTGCTGCAGTTGTTCTTATACGTTGATGACTTGACCATTACCGCGTCCGGCTTTTCCGAGGAGGCCCTTGCAGCGGTGTCTCGTGGCACGGAGTTCTTCGTCGACATGTTCGAGAAGTGCCTCCAGTTGACGGTCTCGCCGACGGAATCGTTCGCTGTCGCATCGAGGCCCCGGCTCGCGATTCGGCTTTCTCTCATGTCCAAGCGGCGTCTGTTGGTGCCGAAGCGCAGCGTGAAGATGCTAGGCACTCCCTACGCCGGCGGCCGCGCGCGGTCCGCGGGCGTCCTGCGAGGCCGCCTGAAAGAGTTCAAAGCCCGCATCCCCAGAATACACGCTCTCAGGCGGCAGCGCATCGACGTAACCAAGGTGGTCAAGGCGATCGGCAGCCCTAGCATGCTGCACGGCGTGGATTGTCGGTGCGTCCAGCACGCACCTGCATAGCGTCAGGGTCGCCGCTCTCCGCGCGGCCTTGCCGCTGGGCGCAAGCCGGAACGTCGACGTCGGCTTCGCGGTCCTCGACGCCGGGGGCTCTTGCTTGGACCCCGCCTTCGCTGCGCATGCCACCCCGCTGCGCCACTGGGGCATGGCTTACTGGCAGGGTTGGGCACCCGCGGCGGAACTTGATGCCGTCTTTGAGCTGTCACGGGACCGCCTTGTGAACGTTCTTGCCAGCGGCCGGTCGCCGTGGTCTGCCGTGGCTGGCCCTGTGGCGGGCGTCATCGCAACGGCTTGGCGCCTCGGTTGGACGTGCACCTCCCCGCGGCGCTTCACCGACGACATCGGCGAGCCGGTGGACTTCCTCCCCCTGTCCCCCGCGATGGTGGCGGCTGCCGTGCACAGATCAGTCGACCCACAGGTCCGGTGTGACAGCTTTTCTGTCACGAAATTTTTCGTGACAATATTTGGTCACGCGCAGTAGATGCTAGCAGGCAGTGACAACATTTTGCCACGCCATTTTCTGTGATCGCTGTTTTCTGTGCGCAACACACAAAAAGTTTGATTTTCTATGTTCTGTTGCATCTTAAATGTAACGTATGAATGTTGCGCGCGATGCCATCGCATGTTGATCGTTGCAGCAGTTCGATTCGCATGGCTGTCAATCGTTATGATTTTCTTGCGTTAATTGCGGATAAGAGTGAGGTTATGACATGGCTGCGGTAACGCAGGTGCAAATCACATGCGAGCCGCGGGCCACGGTACGCGTCGCGAGCGAGACGCGGGCAGGTCGCGAGCGACTCGAAATACAAATTACGAAATTGTCCAACATAACGCGGAGGAGGGAGAGGAGGGAGAGGAGGGAGAGGAAGAGGAGGAGGAGGAGGAGGGCGAGGACAAGGAGGATTAGGAAGAGGATGATAAGGATTGAAATGGAGATAAGGATGGAGCGGGGGAGGAGGAGGAGGAGGAAGAAGAGGATGAGGAGACGGAGATGGAGGAGGAAGAGGCGGAAGAAGAGGGAAGGAGAAAGAGAAGGAGGAGGAGGAGGAGGAGGAGGAGGAGGAGGAAGAGGAGGCGGCGGCGACGGCGGGCGCCCTCGAGGCGGCGCGCCCCTGGGGCCAGAACGCGCCCACAACTAACGAGCGACGAAGCGCCCGCCTCGCATCGAGGGCGCCGGGCCTGCAAGCCACATCACCGCCGCGTCACCGCTGTCACCGATATCGGTGACATCGGTGACGCGCCAGATGCGACCTGGCTGGTGTCCTTCAGCGGGGCGGTGCGTTTCGGTGATCGTTGTCGGATGGTTGCGCGCAGGGCGCACGCTATCAAAGCGACGGTGGGCAGGCGGGCGAACTTGCAACAATATCGGCGATGCGATCGGGGACCCAAAACTTAAGAACCTGAGGCATCATGCATCGATTCGACGCCACAAATATTGATACGGACACATGTTATTCAAACGTCGGGCTCCCCCATCTTCGTCGTTGCCCCTTCGTTCATCCGCCTCCCCCTCATCTGCCTCATCGTCCCCCTTCATCCCCTCCTCCTCCTCATTGTCCTTCTTTTCCTCCTCCTCCTCCTCGTCATCATCCCCTCTTCGTGAGGTTGGTCGTCCACCTCATCCGACCTGTTGAGTTGCGTTGGTCATCCTCCAGCTGCCCGTCCTTTCCTTCTCCCCTCTCATCCCCTGCGTCTGCGTCATCGAGATCTCACCGCCCCCCCCGAGTTAAGCGAAACCGTTTTCTGCCAGTTCCAGCGCCTGGAGATGCCGCGTCGGTGCGATCGTTTAGCCGATCGTGGCTTTTAAATCTTCAGAGAGAGAGAGAGAGAGAGAGAGAGAGAGAGAGAGAGAGAGAGAGAGAGAGAGAGAGAGAGAGAGAGAGCGCTCGCGCTCGTGGCTGGGTTCTTCGGCCTGTCTCGCGCGCCGCGGCGATGGCGCAGATGCAGGGGGGGAGAGGGGGGGGGAACGGACTGGCAGTTGGAGGAGGAACAACGAAACTCAACTGGTCGGACGCGGTGGAAGCCCAAACGGACGAAGAGGGGGAAAGGCGGAGGATGGGGAGGAGGAATAGGAGGAGGAGGAAACGGAGGACAAGGAGGAGGAGGAGGATGAGGATGAGGATGGGGGGAAGGGGGATGGTGAGGCAGAGGAGGGGGGGCGGATGAGGGGCGGGGCACCGACGAAGATTGGGGAACCCGGCGGTCGAATCAAATGGTTCGGCATCAGTTGACGCGCATGCGTGGCGTCGATTCGATGCATGCCGCCTCAAGTTCCTAAGTTGTGGGCTCCCGATCTCATCGACGATGCTTCCCTTTCGGTCCCCCTGCTGATGCCGCGTGCGTTGTCTTGTGATCGGGGTTATCCGAAGATTTGCGTTTGCTGTCTCGCGCATCGGGATCGGCTGCTTTATGATTATTCGGATCGTTTGTATGAATGTTGCGTTGCTCGTCGTGCGTTGGCTGCAATTTCTCGGCATCGGTTGGCTGCTTCGGGGTCACAAACAGTATGGGTGGTGTGTCGAAGCACATGTGCACCGCTGGCAACGGGCTGTCGAATGCATGGCGTTCAAGATTGTCGATGCCAACTGAATGTGATCCCGCCCCAGCCTCATCGAGAGAATTGCCGCGAGCTGGTCGACCATGTCACGCGGCATGCCGATCGGATTTGTAAACCCCATGTCGCCATCCGTGATGGCCCCAACGTCATCAGCCCAGCGTGCGAACCTTCAAACCACTCGGCAAAACCTTCGAGCTGAGACGGTGGGGCGGGATCGAGTAATTGTGGCCCATAACAATGTTGACGCGTTGCCCCAGTGGGGCATGAGAGGGGCGAGGCTGACGGAGAAGGGATTTGGGAGGGAGGGGCGATGAGGGCGAACAGGAACGAGCGCATGAGGAAAACTGAGGATGGGTTCACCACGATCCAGACGCGAGGCAGACTAAGATTTCTGACGCCGCGTGGTCTGCGTTGCCCCAGCTGGTCATTCAGATACCCCCCATTGAGATCACGAGGCGCGTCGCGTATCCAGGGGCCCTGGACGCTATATATGCAAACAGTGACACCTACGCGAACGCCCGCGCAAAACTGTCGTGTCATCTAAATTGCGATGCCATGGTGCCCAAACAAACGATGCCGCGCACCGAAACGCCCCTCGCCCCCGCTCGAAAGACACGGACTAGGAGGGGCCATCACCGCACAGTCACCGATGTCACCGATATCGGTGACATCGGTGACGTGCCACGCGTCGCTTGGTTGGCAATCGTCGGTGGATGTGGGGCGGAGGTGGTGTTGTGTGGTGTAGAATGTGTGTGTGTGTGTGTGCGTGTTACATGCGTCGTTCGTCGTTCGATGCCAGATTGCCGTGCCAGGTGGCGTGCGTGAAATGTCGCGGGATCGGATCTTGGGCGGGTGGGCCCCCGAATGCGATGGGGCGTCAGCGGGCGGGGGAGGGTTCAGCGGACCCATCATTGATATTGCATTGCTAGTGTTTGCCATGCAAGTTCGGAACTCGCCCGCAGGTCATTCGAAACGCGCGCCCAAGGCTGGCGCTGCATGCACGCCGAGCAGCTCGTGCCCGGCATCCTCGTCGCAGGCGGGCCGCTCTGAGGGGGGCGCGTTTGTTTGTGCTGTTGTTGCGTTTCTCATGGTGTTCGTCTTAATCAGCTTACCACCGTTCCCCTCCCATCTCATCCGCATCCCTGTTTCCCTCCTGAAAGTCACACCATTCAACCCCGCGTTTCTTTACATCGGCATTTCGTTCACGCGCCCCCCCCCAAGACCAGCTCGCATTCGTCCGTGGCTCACGATCGCGAGCTACGCGCAAACATCTCACGGACCTGGCGGCCCGCCCGCCGACAGGATTGGCGAAAACGCTGACGCGATGGCGCTGGCAAAAGCTGCGCAAAAACTATCTGGGTATTCTGCAGATAAAGTAATGAGTGGCTTGACCCCAGACGTCCACCCTTTCTTGGACCAGCCCCCCTTGGAGTGCGTCCTGCGGGGCGTGCGGACAGTCAAAGCTTGCTTGCCGCCGTCCAGGCGATCGGTGGCTTGCTGCTTTGACCTGTACAGGGGCGTCAGAAGTGATTTCGGAAGAGTGCTCCAGATGGCCGTGGGCTTCATCGACAGGCCGCCCCATCCGCCCATCCAGAGAAACAGGTACTCGGACCTCGTGTTCGTCAGGGTTGCCCGTACGTTGCGATCAAAATAGAGCAGGCTCGCCAGCGGCTGTTCCACCGATGCGTAAATGCTCCTGGTCCCCGCCAGGAAGTAGAGGAAACACCTTCGTGGCTCCGATGGTCGACAACGCACCCCACGCATATTCGATGCCCCCTCGCCATTATCATCCTCCTCCTCCCCCGCATCATCCCCCTCCCATTTATCTTCTTCAGTATCCTTCTCTTCCTCCTCTTCATCGCGCCCTCCTGTGCTCATAGCACGCCGTCGCCGTATATAATCGTCATCCTCACCGTCGCCCTCGCCATCCTTATCCTCGCATGCGTCGTCCTTCTCCGCCTCCTCCTGCCTCCCTCTCGCCTGTTCCCCCCCCTCATCCTTATCCCCCGTCCGCCCCCCCACCCCGTACCACACTTCCACCCCCGCCACCATCCATGCCTCCATGTGTCATGGCATCCCTCCAGGTCGGCGGGGTGACATCGATATGCGCAAGGTTACACGTTCAGTTCTTACCACCAGGATCAGCATGGATCATCGCATGCCGTCACCGATGTCGCCGATAACGGTGGCATCGGCGACGTTGGTGCGCCGCCAGACACGCTATCACACCAGAGAGATTACGTTCGTCACATTCTACAGCCCACGGCGTTTTCGAGCTTGATCGAGGCCGATCCAGTCTGGTTGCGACGAGACCCCTGGAACACAGCGCTGGGAGTGCGCACGTGCAGGGCCCTGGATAACCCCTTAGCGTTTAAGCGTCCCGACTGACATTGCCCTCGCCGCAAAGTTGGCGTGGAGAACGTCGGTCCGTGACGGTGTTCCTGTGGCATCGCCCCTCTTCCGTTTGGTGTGGCCTGTTGACAGTCCCAGCCACGTCTTGCACTCTGGCGCGAAGTGAACGGTGCCGAACGGGAGCACGGCGCACACCAGGTACATGGCGTAAAGCAGCCCAGCCTGCGAGGGCTTGCGACAGTCAGTGTAGTAACATCCCCATGCCATCTTCGTTCTCATTCCCCCACACCTCCTCATTATCCTCCATGTCGGGCCCCCCCATCCCCATTCCCGTGCATGCTCCGCCTCCTCCTCATCATCCGTCTCTTGTCCCCCCTCCCCCTCCCCCCCACCTCATCGCCCTCGTCTTTCCTCAACCCCCGCCTCATTCCTCATCCTCCACGTCCTCCACCTCATCGTCCTCCACGTCCTCCACCCCCGCCTCACTCCACGTCCTCCACCTCATCGTCCTCGTCTTTCCTCATTCCTCCCGAGACGGTAGCGATGAGAGGGGTGGGGAAGTGTTTTGCCCG